GTCTTTTCTTCTCTCCCTTCTTATTCCTCCTCCTCCATTCTTCATATGTTGTGTGTTTTGTTCTGTGCTCTTTTTAGGGGTGCTCCCATCTAGAGCAGTCCCTGTAGGATGCCCTGTAGAGGTGGTTTGTGGGAAGCAAATTCCCTCAGCTTTTGCTTGTCTGGGAATTGTTTGATCCCACCATCATATTTAAATGATAGTCGTGCTGGATACAGTATCCTTGGTTCAAGGCCCTTCTGTTTCATTGCATTAAGTATATCATGCCATTCTCTTCTGGCCTGTAGGGTTTCTGTTGAGAAGTCTGATGTTAGCCTGATTGGTTTTCCTTTATAGGTGACCTTTTTCTCTCTAGCTGCCTTTAAAACTCTTTCCTTGTCCTTGATCCTTGCCATTTTAATTATTATGTGTCTTGGTGTTGTCCTCCTTGGATCCTTTCTGTTGGGGGTTCTGTATAATTCCATGGTCTGTTCGATTATTTCCTCCCCCAGTTTGGGGAAGTTTTCAGCAATTATTTCTTCAAAGACACTTTCTATCCCTTTTCCTCTTTCTTCCTCTTCTGGTATCCCTATAATACGAATGTTTTTCCTTTTGTATTGGTCACATATTTCTCTTAGTGTTGTTTCATTCCTGGAGATCCTTTTATCTCTCTCTATGTCAGCTTCTATACGTTCCTGTTCTCTGGCTTCTATTCCTTCAATGGCCTCTTGCATCTTATCCATTCTGCTTATAAATCCTTCCAGGGATTGTTTCACTTCTGTGATCTCTTTCCTGACATCTGTGATCTCCTTCCGGACTTCATCCCACTGCTCTTGCATTTTTCTCTGCATCTCATCCCACTGCTCTTGCATTTTTCTCTGCATCTCATCCCATTGCTCTTGCATTTTTTTCTGCATCTCTGTCAGCATGTTCATGATTTTTATTTTGAATTCTTTTTCAGGAGGACTAGTTAGGTCTGTCTCCTTCTCAGGTGTTGTCTCTGTGATCTTTGTCTGCCTGTAGTTTTGCCTTTTCATGGTGATAGAGATAGTTTGCAGAGCTGGTACAAGTGACCGCTGGAAGAGCTTCCCTTCTTGTTGGTTTGTAGCCTTTTCCTGGGAGAATAGCGACCTCTAGTGGCTTGTGCTGGGCAGCTGTGCGCAGACAGGGCTTCTGCTTCCTGCCCAGTTGCTTTGGGGTTTATCTCCGCTGTTGCTGTGGGCTTGGCCTGGCTGGGGCTGTTCCTCCAAAATGGTGGAGCCCCGTTGGAGGGGGAGCAGCCAGGAGACTATTTATCTCCGTAAGGGGCCTCTGTGCTCCCTGCTGCCCAGGGGGTTAGAGTGCCCAGAGATCCCCAGATTCCCTGCTTCTGGTCTAAGTGACCTGTCCTGCCCCTTTAAGATTTCCAAAAAGCACTCTCCAAACCAAAACAACAACAGCAACAATGAGAGAGGGAACAGAAAGGAAAAAAAAAAGAAAAAACACGCGATTTTTTTTTTTTTTTCCCCAGGTGCCGGTCCCAGGCACCCGCGCACTGGTCCTGCTGCCCTGTCTCCCTAGCACCAGGGTCCCTGTCCTTTCAAGGCTTCCAAAAAGCACCCACCCACCGGTCCCGCAGGGAAGGAACGCTCAATATTCTTGGTCCTCAGGCACTGGTCCCACGCACCCGCTCACCAGTCCCGCCGCCCTGCCTCCCTAGCACCGGGGTCCCTGTCCCTTCAAGGCTTCCAAAAAGCACTTGGCAAAAAGAGAGAAAAAAAAGGGGAAAAACGCGCGATTTCTTCCGTCCTCAGGTGCTGGTCTCAGGCACCCACCCACCGGTCCCACAGGGAAAAATGCGGGATATTCTTTGTCCTCAGGTGCCGGTCCCAGGCACCCGCTCACCAGTCCCGCCGCCCTGCCTCCCTAGCACCGGGGTCCCTGTCCCTTTTAGGCTTCCAAAAAGCACTCGCAGAAAAGAGAAAAAAAAAAGGGGAAAAACGCGCGATTTCCTCTGTCCTCAAGTGCCGGTCTCAGGCACCCGCCCACCGGTCCCGCAGGGAAAAACGGGGGATATTCTTTGTCCTCAGGCGCCGGTCCCAGCCACCCGCTCACCAGTCCCGCCACCGTGCCTCCCTAGCACTGGGGTCCCCGTCCCTTCAAGGCTTCCAAAAAGCGCTTGCCAAAAAGAGAAAAAAAAAAAAAGGGAAAAACGCGCGACCTCCTCCGTCCTCAGGCACCGGTCTCAGGCACCCGCCCCCAGGTCTCGCAGGGAGAAACGCGGGATATTCTTTGTCCTCCGGCGCCGTTCCCAGGCACCTCCTCACCGGTCCCGCCACCCTGCCTCCCCAGCAACGGGGGCCCGTCCCTCTAAGGCTTCCAAAAAGCGCTCGCCAAAAAAAAAAAAAGCTCCGGTTTCTTTCCACCCGCCGGGAGCCGGGGGGAGGGGCCCTCGGGTCCTGCCAGGCCGGGGCTTGTATCTTACCCTCTTGCAGGTGTGGATGTGGTCTGGATGTTGTCCTGTGTCCTGTGGTCTCTATTTTAGGAAGATTTTTCTTTGTTATATTTTCATAGCTCTATGTGTTTTTGGGAGGAGATTTCCACTGCTCTGCTCACGCCGCCATCTTGGCTCCTCTCAGTTTACATTTTTAAAAAGCCTTAATTATGAATTTGGAATACTTGTGATGGTGATGTACAAATAATACTTCAAATATTCTCCTTCAAAATTCTCTGATTTAATAAAAATTTGTCGATTTTTTTATTATACTGTCACATCTCTTACTAGGAGAGATTAACTATATGTAAAAATCAAGTTATTTATTCTTCCTTTCATATTTGGTTTTTAGACTGTTGGTGGCAAAGGTTCTTTTTTAAATTAAGATATGGAATCTCCTTAAGATACTGGGTCTTTTTCCTAGTAAACACTGGAAAGAAGAGAAACTGTGTCTCAGTCAATCACTGGCTCTGAGGATTCCCACCAACAGTTCTCGTTCTTCACCCATTAAATCAGCATAAATTTGACAATCAGATTATTATATTTTTTTTCAGAGCCCCTTTGTTTCTTCCTTTGCAGAACTTTGAAAAGTTGCAACAAAGATGTGTCAAATGTGTGAATCTAACAACATAGGCAGTAACTAAGTCCATTTTAAAATGTGGTTGCACTTGATTACAATAAATTTTTGGGTACTGAAGTGTAAAATTCATGTAATGAAAAGAAAAGAAATAGATGATTTTGTACTATGTGACTAAGCCAGTAGATGATATTTTCAGGTATTCACTTGTCGGTCCTCTGTGAAAGAACAGATAATGCAGGAAAAAACCAGGATAGTAAGGGGCGAGGAAAAGTGAGGTAGCAGAACATACTTAGGTAAATGCTACAGACAATAGGAGCAAACTGCTAGGGCTGTTCAAGAAGGTAAGTGTCCTGGTTTTAAGTTAAAGGTATAAGAAATGTGTTACATTTTCTCAAATGGTAACTGTAAATTGGAGGTTTTTTAAAAGGGATATTTTAAATATTCACACTGAAACTCTAACCCCATTTTTTTATAAGAAAGGACTATTCTACTTTCTGCATGGTGATTTGTTTATATGACTGTTAGTTGTAATTACTTGTTTAATATTCATGAAGTTTCCTTCATATACTTTTGGTTTGTGAGAGTCACATCTTAATGATACCATTTTGGTAAAACTGCCCCCCCCCCACTTGACAGTATAATCTTCCACAGGACATTAATGTCAGTATTTTTAGATGATCTGTAATGCATCTCACATTCATTTTAGGAATGTATACATTTTGTTTTACAGGAAGGCATAATTTAATATTACATTCATAAATTTGTAATGCATTATTCTTGTATGTTTTAACTGATTTATTATTTATTTTAATTTATAGAGAAACTTTTTATTCATTAAGGAAAAAGGTTAATTGTAGAAAGCAAGCTTTCCTTTCTCTTTAAGTTAGAATATTTGAAGAAAATTCTTTTGAACTTAATAAGTAATACAGTTTATGGAAGGAACCAGCTTATGATAAAAATGTTGCTAGGTGATTATTGAGTGTTGGAATAAAAAACTTGAAATTATACAGAAATTATACATCTTTGGACTATTTTTTGAAAACATGAAATAGTGGAAGTCTTGTCATATTGGTGGTACTTGTTAACTTATATTATCTTGTTATATTATCTTAGGATTTCAAAGGTTTTTCAGAAGTATTATTACCCAGCATACCCTGTTCTTTTAAATCAAATCTGCAAAAGTTTGTTTTTGACTGAATTAAAATATAAGTACATGATCAAAACATTTATTAGTGTTAGCTTAAAGGACTTCTTTTTATTATGCTACATAGAAGAGAAATATTGTGAGAAATAATGAAAATGAAAAGCCAATGGGAATGCTTATAAAACAGCATTGATTTTTATATGTAAGTATCTAGATTAATATTAGAAAAACTTCTCTGAAATACACTGCAAATATCATTTGTTTTAAGTAAGCTTGAATCCTTATAGCTACCCACTTATCTATTATTTTTAAAAATGCTTTATACAGCTACAAATAAAGAACTTCAAAAGTGAACTTTGATATAAAAAAACTATTACAGTCTGTAAATTTTTATTTAGGATTTTAAATGGAAATTTAGGGTGATATATTTTGATATAACCTCTGAGGGCTATAATGTATTTGATTGCATATTTACCACATTTATATTTTCTTTTCAAATTAAAACCAATATGTTAAGTGTGGTTAAATCTGAAAATGCATTTTTCAGAATCTTAAAATCCGAAGTATATAAATAAAGTGAGTTGGTAAAAGGAATGATTTTTAATAATCTGACCAAGTTCTTTTATTTGTTCCTGTTCCCAAAGGTCATTAAAACCCTTACAAGATCAAAAGACTTAAGTTTGAACCTCATCAATGTAAATGTTTAATGAAAACTTTAAAAATTATTTAAAAACTAGCTTTGACAATTTGAAAAGTATTTTAAAAAGACTGTTGCTGTAAATGTGTTCTTTTGCCTGTGTTTAATGCAATGTGTCAATTATTTACAGATCCGATGGTTTTGTGGAAATTTCCAGAGGACTTTGGAGATCAGGTTGGAAGCATGTAATTTTTAAAGAAACATTTAAAATTAGAATGTTATAATCGTTATTATTGTTACTGCTGCTCTTCTACTACACATGAATTGCTTAAGTATTTTCTATTGATCAGCTGTCAGGAAAAAAAGATGTGTGCAGAATATATATGGAAAATCTTGTAGTACCAAGTAGATGGGTGAAAAAGCCCTAATGTTGAAACTAAGAAGAGCTGAATGTTTACAGTTTCAACATATTTTAACACGCTTTTATTGTCGATGGAATACATATTTGGAAACATTTAAAAATTTGCCCATCAAAAAACCTGACAATACCACACTTTGTTGAATACCCACCTATTATTTCTGTCTACTTAGAAGTAAATAGTAAGTGCTGTAAATAAGTGATCAATTATCCCCTGTTATATCTGAATCACTTATATATGTAAGTTGAATTGACAATATTTTTTTTAAAATAATTCTTATCTACAGCTTTATTTCTTAAAAGAAAATGGGAGAATTCAGAATGAATTTATTCCATTTGTATTTTTAATTAATCTTTATGGTTCCTTAAGTAGTATGAACAAAATTATTCATACTTGTATGATTAATTATTTTGACATGATGTATGTAAATAGAAAAACCTTTAAAAATTATAGGCTTATTTTAAAGTGCATTACATAATGGTTCACCGTACAAATTTAAATTTTTGCAGAAATAAACACTTTATCTGGAAATCTGATAGATACCTTTTTTGTATGTGTCTACAAAGACATGGGATAAAACAATCCTGTCACTGTTAAAATTATAAAATTATAGTACAAGCTTAACTGAAAGCTGATGGAAGTTTTGTTTGAAGCAGTTCAGAAATAAGTGTACAGATGTGATTTCAGTATACATGGAAGAATAATTTTCTACATGTGAAAATCAATATATAAGACTAGGAAATTACACTGAAAAAGTCAGTTGAATGGGTGTTAAATTAATTAGATCTAGTTCAATCCTGGACTATTATTTCATATAAAAAGAGAGTATACACTCTTAATTTGCTTTTTTAGCCCTTTAGAGAAGAGTAGATTTTTTAATATGTTAGGTATATAAAAGAAGCCCTGACAGTGAAGACCTAGTTTGGACATATGAAGCTTAACTGGCTTGTTTCCAAATAATGTGTGCTTAGGTTAGAACCTTACTGACTCATTTTGCTGTTTTGAAATACTGTTTTTCTTGGTCTTCTCAATACTCTCTTGTGCACTGATCCAAGAACAAACCTCCTATCCAGGTAGCCAGGTCTCTCTCTTTCTTTCTTCTTCTTCTTTTTTTTTTTAATCTCTACCTCTTAAACTGCGCCTGTGAAATCCTAGGGGTCTGAAGACCCCTGGGCTCAGGCTCCTGTGCACATGTCCGGTTCAGTCACGGGGATTCTCAGTGAGACCGACTATTGCCGTTCCTCATTGTGACTCAGGAGCTGGTGATAGGAATTTTTTATCTGGGGCTGCATTATTTCTTTTTTCCCCAAATTGTGAGGTCAGTGGAACATTAATAAGCTCTCACACAGTTAGTAAAACACGAAGTAGTTAGCCATGTGATGGTGATGAACATTCTTAAAGACTTTCTGAAGGTACACACTGACAAGAGCTTTAGAAACGTCTGTCTAACTACCTCATTTTACATTTAAGAAACCAAACTGAATATAGGAATCTAGCCAAGGGCCTTGAAGAATGGCTTTGCTATAATTTTTTGGTGAATGATCTGAATATGCAGATAACAAAAGACTGTGTATTTCTCATCCTGCCTACTACCTTCATGAACTGCTCCTTCCCGACTTCATGGGATCTGAGACTGCTTTGGTAATGATACTATTTCGTAGGCTCTTTATTTAGCTCTCACCATGTTCTGGGCACTGTACTGGGAGCTTTATGTGCGTAATTCATTTTATCTGCAAATCCTCCCAGTACTGCTAGGATAGGAGATAGTACCATTCTTGAAACTAAGGCTTCAGTTAGAAACTTGCCTGAGCTCACACTGCTTGTAAGAGGGAGGCAGAGCTAAGATCTGAAGGCAGGTGTCTCTCACTGGAAAGCAATTAAGATACATTGTTTCCTTCTGTTTGTAATGCTGGCCCAAACCCTACTCATTTATTTTAGCTCTTTTAAAAAACTTTATCATAGTGTTTTTTTCCTCAGTATTTTTGTAATATGAAAGCAGTATATTACTTAATCCAAAGAGATAATATCAACCCACTGCCATTTGGTTCTACCACTTGGAGTTACAGGTCCATCAGAGGCACTGGCTTATCACATGCCTCTTTGAGTATGTTTTCCTTCCTTTGGAAATAGGAGAAGAGCCCAAATCACGTTTCAGGAGTAGTAATTATAATTTTTTGGGTGGGAGGTACAGTGAAGAATCCTGTATAGGGTAGTAGAATATTATAAATGTAAATGGGGCTGTTCTTTGGCAACAATTAAAGGCCTTGCTGAAAAGTTGGTCCCTCACATGAACTTGGGGGGAGTGTGACACAATGAAATGAATCTGTCCGGAGGGCTGATCTGGCGGGGATTTCAGTGTGGGTTGGTGGCGGGAGAGACTGGCCGAGGACATCCTTGGCGTTGTAGTGCTTGAGCTGAGGCGTACGGGAAGAGTTGGTGACACTGAGAACGAAGGAGGATGAGTACGAGGGGCTGGAGGGGGACCGCACGCAAAGGTGTTTTTGGGGCCTGGGGTGGAGAAGAGTAATGACGAGGGGATGAGTCTGATTTTTTCACTTCAAGAAATGCTGAATGGTCTCTACGCAAGTGATGGGAAGGGATCTGAGGAGTTTGAGAAGAATGAAGAGTGTTGCAGCCTCAGGGAACACAAAGGTGTGAATGAATTAGGGCTGCTAAACAGACTTACTTGAGGTCAGATTTGTGTTTTATGAGCATTTTCAGGGCCCTGCTGAGATGAGGGCCCTGGCCCTATGTTCCCGTCCATGCCCCCGATATGCAGTACCTCGTCTTGCATTCGCAAGAGGTTTACTGCTGCTATATAAAATGAGTAGTTTTGTTTCTTTTTTGCTGCTGTCAAGTTAATCTCTCCATTGCACTTATTTCCCTATAGTTCACACCATGCTTAATGGCTGAGGCTGTTTCTCAGAATACTTATTTTCCCTGTTCTGCTTGTCATTTTCGTGCCTCGCTTTTCTGTAGTATTTCCGCTTTGCACGCATCGCTTAGTCCGGTTCTTAGGTGAGAGAAGTCAGCCTTTGTGAGAAAAAGACTTTTAGAGAGGGGGTTAGTAGTAAAGTCTTATAAACACTGGAGTCAGATTTGTGTTTGAATCATGACTGAGTTTACAGATTGTGTGAAGTGTTGTTTTGGAAAAGGGATCTAATCTTTCTGAATTCCTCACTTACAAAATGGGGCTGATTTTATTGATCTGACGTATTATGATAATGAAATGATCCAAACACTAGAGCGCTCAGCATAGTGACTGACACATAGAAAACACTCTGTAAATGGGAACCAGTAGCTTTATTGTTACATTGCAAGGCCATGAATGTTCATTAATTTTTGATGAGGACTAGATAATGCTTCTTTATGTGAATGGTTGAATGAAAGTTTGAAAATTTCACTGCTTTATAGACCTTCAGGAAGATTTATAATTTAGTAGCATAAGAGGTACTAACATTTAAAAATTCTTCTCTAATTTATGCTTTCTGGCTTAATTTGTTTCTGTGCCATTAGTTGATGACTAGAGTGGATATATTCTGTGTAATTGGCAAACTTTGTTACAGCTTTTAGTTAGTTATTCTTGATGAATATCTTAAGCTGTATTTAAGATTTCTTTTTTTTCAAGATGGCTCCAAGCAGAGGTCATAGGACCATGGGCATAATCTTTTAGTATTGTCCAAGACCTCAGAAATTAAGACCATTTGCTCAGCTTTTAGATAGGAAAATAAGATTATAAAGAACTGGCCCAGGGTCATACTTCTTATTTACTTTTAACCCTTCAGTCTTACAGTACTTTTCCCATTTTCACACAAACTATAGGACTTTCATGCTTCTGGGCCATTTCATGAGCCTCGGATACCTTTCCCATTTCTCTAGTGTACTTGCTCCATAATGCAACTTAAATGTTTTATCTGCTGTGACAAATTTAGGCATTTCTGTTTTTGTGTTCCGTATGCATTCCATACATGGAGTCATTGTTTCTGTGTGTCTTATTTCAATGAATGTTCCCACTTATGATGCTTTCCCAAGCCAGGGACTTTATACAATTATTTTTGACTTATCTTCCTTCCACTCAATTGCTGTAACCAATCTGTCATCAAATCCTATTGCTTGTACCTCTTTTATCTCTTGTAAATCTATCTACTTCTCTTTATTTCTAGGGTCCTGTCCTTAATTTACACCCTCCTAACCCTTCCTTTCCCCTCCGTTGTCATCCTTCTGTGCTCTCCACATGAAGCTGGGGTGACCTGAAAGACAACAGGCCGATCCCCAGAAGACAGCTCAGTGCCCCCGCTGTCACTGGTCCCTCAGCGTGCTGGGCTGTTTGAAGTGTCACCTACATCAGGCCATTTGATCCTCGTGATGCCCCTCTAAGTTCAGGGGCCACTGTACTTCCAGTTTTACAGAGGGAGAAACAGGCACAAAGAACTTACTTTACGTGACAGAAGTCACACAACTAGTAAGTGGTTTTGTTCCAGACCGTGTGGTGCAGAGCCTGCAGTCCAGATATACTTAAACTCAGTGTTCCCCATTCACACCTTCGCAGTACAGTTCAGCCTTCTTAACATGATCACATCCCTGTTTCAAGTCCTGTGTTTACATCTTTAGTCTCTTATTAGTCAATCTTCCTTTTTTCTCATTTTAAAAAATAGTCAGTACTTCATAGTGAACTTTTCCTTATATACCATTCATTTATATTCTCTTTGAACATATGAGTCTTTCTGTCTGAAAAGCTGATCTCCAACTGACACTTCTCTGTTTGACTATCTTTCTGATATGTTTCCCACATTATGGCACTTATTAGACCTGTTA